TAAAGAAAAGTTTTACTAGAAAAAAATCCACGCGGACCAGACAACAGACGGGACTGGTCAGCGTGGATTTTTTCTAGTTATATTTTCTTTGGTTTTAAATATTCCTTAATTTTAAAAGGAAAGAAGTCCCTCGTCTGTGCACTTTTAATACTCAGTTTTCATAGAAACGTTGACGATTCGTGCTTCGGCCTTAATATGTCAATATTCGTGCTTGGGTCTTAATATGTCAAGATTCGTGATTGGGCCTTAATATGTCAAGATTCGTGATTGGGCCTTAATATGTCAAGATTCGTGATTGGGCCTTAATATGTCAAGATTCGTGATTGGGCCTTAATATGTCAATATCCGTGCTTGGGCCACAGATCGCACTAGCCATTGCGCTTTCGATCCCTAACGCTTCACATATTCAATTCAGTTTTCAATTTTCTCAATATCGATTATGTTCAATTACTTTGTTCAATCAATTGTACTTCAAATACTAATAGATTTCATTAAATTCTCCAATTAGTTCATAAAATTAGATTCATTAAATGACATTTCGACAATAGTTCATTTTGATTTTATTATAAATTCAAATAATGTAAAATAAAAATTACTTAGTATTTTTTCACCAAAGGAATTGATTTGATCAATAAATATCAAAATACTTAAGCTTTCGCTTTTACGTAGAATAAAAACCCAAATTAATAAAATCTATTAGTATAAAAATCATTTTGTGTATGTAGCCCCGTCAAGCTTGGAAAGCGCAAAAATCATTAAATATTATTTTTAGCGTTATATAATTAACTAACGTTTGGCATTTCGAATACTTATGTTTAGCACCGAATTTTGGCTAAATCGATTTCATGGCATCGATCAAATATTGGAAAGGAGCACTCAATGGGTGATTTATAGGATTTTTTCACATGAGTGTGAATTTTGTTTCAAACAGTGCCCATATGAACCAACATTTAAACAATGCCACGTAATAATTATTCAACAATTTCATTTCATATTAATACGCCAAATCATTAAAGTTTAGCTAAGTTTAAGTGGATCTGTTATCTTGTATAAGTACATCAAGGAGAAGTTATAACTAAACACGTATTTTTTTTAACTTAAAACTTCCAATTTCACACCAATAAATCTTTTTTCTAGCCTCGCATATTTTTTTTATTTTCTCGTATTGAGAAGGTAAAGGTTTCTTGATTTACACAGCCAATATTCAATTTCATTTGTTTGTTTTAATAACAACATGTATTGTTAAGTAACTGCAATATTTTCTCAATGGTTTGTGAATCTTATATTAAGTAACATTAAGCTCAAAATCAGTTGGACACATATGACAGTTATTGGAAATATTTTTTATTGTGTGTCCACTCAATGGGTTACCCAAAAAAGTTGAATTTTTTTTTCCCTTATAGAGCTATCTGATTGTTAATACAAAAGACAACAGACCCACTCCCATTAGCTAAGTCACAGATAACATAACAGATAGTCGATAGATATAGTATATAAACATTAAATAAATTAATAAGAAGTACTCTTTCCTCATTGTATGAGATCATATTTGTGAATAAAATCAGTCTATACGATTTGTTGGTACCAATTTAAAAAATTTGTTCAGAAGTTGTAAGTGCACCTTGGAGGACACACGTGTCATAACAAAGATAAAATATCAGTTAAAATAAAACATGTACTAAAATACATTGAGAATTATAAAAAAAAATACTGAATAACTTGAAAAACAGCTCAAACATAAAAAATACATCGTCAAAATTATATAAATCGAGAATTTGCTTTTTTATTTATTTTCTATGTATAATTTTCACTATATAAAATCCTCCATTTTATCCCCTTCAAGATATTTTTACGGCAATAAGTAGTCTTTAGCCGTCCCCAGGGTCCATCTATCTCTATACCAAAATTCAGCATAATCAATTCAGATGTTTATGCGTGAAAACGTACAGACAAACTCATTTTCACATTTAAAATATTATTAAGTTAGAATTCGCTGACAAAAGTACAAATTACTCAATTCGGTGACAAAATTTAAAAAATTGTGTGCACGGACCACACATCTGAAGTGAAACTTCTTTTCTTGAATAACCTAACATTAGGTGGTGCATAAGGCATAGGGAAATGGAGCAGCGCACGCATCACTCATATATATATGTATATATAAATATATTATCGCATGTGACGCTCGTAGCGTTTTAGCCTTCGCCGAGTTACCCTCCAACTTTCAAACTTTCATTGCTCGTCGAGGAGAGCTGCGCAAGCATCCTTAAACATATATATATATATACCCACACACACACATATATCATCATCATCAGCCTATTAATGTCCCCACTGCTGGGGCACAGGCCTTCCCTATGGATGGAATAGGGAGATTGGGCCATGACCCACCACGCGGGCCCAGTGCGGATTGGTGGGTGACACACATATATACTAGCTATATATACTATATATATACTAGCTGACCCAGCAAACTTCGTACCGCCATAAAAATAGGGGCAGGTGGTAGAAGAGAAAATTTAGGGTAGTATGTATTTTATTAAAATAAATATTGTCCAAAAAAATTTTTAGGGGTGTGTAACGTAGTGTTCTATCAATTACCTGGGATAACATTCCTCCTAACCCAAATGAGAACACTACGTTACAATACCCAATAGTTTGAATTTTGGCGCGAAGGCGCATTGTAGGTTTCAGAACACTACGTTACAGGTGGACAACCATTATCACTTAAGGATATGAAAAATAGATAGTAGCCGATTCTCAGACCCACGGAATATGCATATAAAATTTAATAAAAATCGGTCAGGCCGTTTCGGAGGAGTACGGTAACTAACATTGTGACACGAGAATTTTATATATAAGATATGTGTGTGTGTGTGTGTGTGTGTGTGTGTGTGTGTGTGTGTGTGTGTGTGTGTGTGTGCGTGCGCAGCTCTTTCCGACGCCTCACAATACTATATATATCTTTATATATATAATTCTTCTGTGAGTGTGTATGTCACTGAACTTCTCTTAAACGACTGGACCGATTTTGATGAAATTTTTTGTGTGTGTTCAAGGGGATCTGAGAATGGTTTAGATTCACAATTTTGTCCGCTGGACTATTTTTTTAGGGCGGTACGAAGTTCGCTGGGTCAGCTAGTATATATATATATATATATATATATATTGAGTATTGTGAGGCTCGTGACGCATTTCCGTTTCATCTTTCCCATTTACACCACGAGAGAAGTTTCACTCAAAAAAACCCATCGACAATGTAAAATACCAAAACAATATCTTTCAAAATAACACCAACACCATTGTATACTCCAAGATCACTAACAAACTTCAAATACTAAAATTTACCAGCATCACAACACCGCACCGGCGGCATTGGAGTCAAATGCGAGGGGGGACGCTAAAATTATATAACCGCTTACAGGGTACAATAATAATAATAGTATTAATAATAACATTAAAATTATTTCATCACAATAAAATGGCATCAAAATCACAGACCCGTAAAACGATAGAACTACATTAGGAATCACATTTCTAATAATAATCATAATAATAATATTTAAATAATCATAATGAGAGTAACAATAAATAATCACAGGTGTTGACGTCACTTTAATTACACTTAACACTATACCACGGCAGTGGTCATTCGATATCTCAACGCACAAACGAACCTTCCTCACATTAGATTGTCTAAAATCACAATTCGCCCATAGAACAGGTTTAATACTGTTGTACACCAGCTGCCTAAGTGAACGCTTATAAGCGACAATAAATACGAAAAGTACATTGTAACAAACAAATGTTTCATAAGGACGCCAATTAAAAAAATCAGTTACGGTGAAAAGCGGGTTGGGGAACTGCGAATCACGCGCTTCTAATGAACTAACACTTAAACGATGTGCACGCCCGTTTACTACTACGATACGAGACTTGACCCGACAATAAGTTAAAAAGTTATTACTATACAATGTCGTGGTTAAATAACGACAACGTGTCAAAAAATCGCCACGACATGATGTCAAAAAGTCGTCATAACACGATGTCAAAAAGTCGTCATGACACGATGTCAACACGTCGTTACGACAAGGTGTCAAAGTAACGACTCGACTCGATGTTAGAATGACGCGAATTTTTAAACGACAACGCGTCATATTAAATTTTACTACATCCGTTAAAAGTTTACGCGTATATTTAACGCGCCTAATTAGTTTCGCTACTAAATTTAGTGTTAAGTTTGATTTGACCGTCCGACTTGTGCGTTTTAATACAGCAGTCAATTTGACATTGACAGACAGTACAGTCGAAACAAGGTAAACCGTAATCGCCACTCCATCCGTAGGAACGGTGCTAGCTAAATTTACGTAAAGATACGTAGAAATAAAACGAATCAACAGCGTCACGTGAATCATGGCTACCAATGACAAAATAACAAAGGCTAACACCAAATTGGCTATCGCTACTAACTTTGTCAAAACGACGACAGTTGTCATAAAAAGCCGCGCCGTATACGCGACTATAATATTGACATACGTCAAAATTACATTTACAGTTTCTTTATATTTCACACTAGTTAAGTTTCTAATTAAGTCCGAAAACGTAGACATTGCTGCTAAAACGACGCCACCCGAGCGCGCTGTCAAAGTGACAGTGACAGCTGTCAACGCCGACGACGACGACGGCGGCGAATCAGTCGAGATTGTGCGAACACCGTTGAGATTCCCTAACAAATGACTAGTAAGACCAATTACGCGCGTAAATACACACGCAATCATATTTAAGACTACGCTACACTTAAATCTATCCACATTTACACATATAGGGGCGGCGGCGCGATAATTACGCAAACGCGAAACTTTGCGGTTTGAGTTTGCGCTATTAAAGGGGACAAAGGGAATAATATCGCGCCTACATTTATACGACGGGCGTGCGGGACAAGGGGATTTGGGACCGGCGCGTAGGGCCGCTTTTGAACCGTACTGATGTAGTTTTAATGGTTAAGGGCAATGCTGTTTTTTGGGCTTCTTTAAGTGTTCCTCGTCGATGCCGGACTTTGGTACCTAGAAATTCAATTAATAAAAAATTTAATCCAGCGCGAAGGACCAAACCAAAGGAAAAATAAGCACCGTTTTAAATTGTATTAAAAACCAACAGGTGGGAAAATTTGCGTTCTAAATGATATACTCAGCGTTTGTAACACTTAAATAAAAGTGAATATTTGGAAGATTTGGAAGATAATATCACGAAAATGAAATGGGGTATCCAGCGCGAAGGACCAACAACGTTATGACTATATCAATAAAATTATTATAGAAAAGAAATCAAAAGGGTGGCAAAGACCTAAATAATTAAACAAAAATAATACGAGATCGTGATAAATTCAGCGTTAGAACTATAACAGTAAATAGTGAGCTGAAAAATATTTGAGTGCAAAGACGGAATTTCTGAATTTGACAATTCTGAGTCAAATAAGTAAGTACTATGTTATATTATGATGAACTTACTATTTCAGACGTTACATATTCAGTTAACTAGCGAATTCAAGAAGGTCGTAAATTGAACGCATAGGTGAACGCTAAAATATACTCTAAAACTCACCTCGGTGTACCTCTCTCCCTTCAGAGAGACGATCTTGTTGTCCCGGTAACGTACCATCTTTTTCGGCTCAATTTTGGGAGCCAAAGGCTTATGTTCCTTGGTATCAGAGTTTTTATCGACGTAGGAATATCTGAAATTATCGTTAATTAGTCAAACAAATTGATTTTTGTAATTAGACAATTTTCAAAACTGTACATTGAATATTTTTTTAAAAGAATACTTGGGGTATGATCTACAATCGATACCGAAGCCAAAAATATAGTTTTTAGAATTTTTGTCTGTTTGTCTGTATGTATGTCAGGGAGAAACTCAAAAAGTACTGCATGGATTTACTTCAAATTTGGCACGAATATTATTAAGAAGTCGGGTCAACATATAGGCTGCATATTATCACGCTATCACCTACGGGGAACGAGCAGTGAACAGGGGTCAAAAAGTATGTGCAAATAACTAACACTACGCGTACAAAGTCGCGGGTGGCCGCTAGTTTTGAATAATAAATAAATATTTCCAACATTCACAACAATTAGCCAAGCCTCAAAGTAAGCACTATAAGGCTTGTGTTATGGGATACTAGGGTAGAATACATATACTGTACATATATAAGTATATTTATATAGAAATACATATTAAACATCCATGACTGGAGTACAAATGCTCGTATTCATCATACAAACATCTGCCCCCACCGGGATTCGAACCCGGGACCTCTCGAGTCGGCGACACCATGAAACCCGGCGTACAAACCACTCGGCCACGGAGGTCGTCTTAGTAATATAGTATTTAGTCTTGTTTAAAGTGTATATTGTGTAGGAACTGTTTTATCATATTTGTTTCTTAGGTTTTCACGCACACCACTCATTAAATTAAACAAATTTCAACGGTACAGATACTCTGATTTATTTATTTATGACGTTTCGCATCCTTTTCAGACTGCGTCCTCGGAATTAATAAATAATAATTCAATCCAAAATAAATAATTCAGTGCATCTACACCGTTAAAACCGTAGAGGTATAAGAATAGAGTAGGGGAGATATAGACTCTACTACAGGTGGAAGTGTCCCTCTAATAGAAAGAGAAAGAAGATGAGAGACCGCTAGCTTTCTTTCTATAATTGCGCATGCGCATTGGCAACCGTAAACATTTTACTATTTCGATGTGATGCCATTACATGCCATGCGTCACAAGAGAGAGAGATAGCTGGCAGTCTCTCATCTTCTTTCTCTTTTTACTAGACGGACACTTTTAGAGCCGCCTTCCCCACTGTATTCTTATACCTCTATGGTTGAAACTGTTTTTATTGTTTCTTTTTAGGATTCTCCCTTTTTAGGGAAGGCAAGGGGAACAATGCCCATACAGCCTAGTCTTTCATTTTATAAATCTTCTTTTTTGATATTGGAATGTCTGTGTGACGCATCTTTAATGTTTCTTGGAGTGTTTGGCACGAAATGCATCGGGTCGGCTTTTTCGATAAGCTTCTGTAAGGTAGTCAAAACCACAATAAAGTTCTCACGTCCACTTCGTCGACCGGAGTGGCGTACATTTTTAAGATTCCACTAATTCTTCAGTTGCGCAGACGGTTGTAACACAAAATTACACTAATTTTATTTTACAATATCCACTATGAACGAATTTTACAATGATTAAAATAAGACGCCGACCGCACTCGATGAAATCCCACCAAAAACTTTGGTGATATTGTCAGACAGACGTACTCAGAGGAGCTCGATGGCGCAAGTGTTAGTGTAGTGTATTTAGCGCGTTTGGCTGCGATCGTTGAAGTTAAGCAACTTTCGCAGTGGTCGGTTATTGGATGGGTGACCAAAAATTTACTATCTCGAGCTTCTCCGTGCTTCGGAAGGCACGTTAAGCCGTTGGTCACGGCTGCTTCTGCAGTCGTCAGCACCCACCAATCCGCACTGGGCCCGCGTAGTGGGTCATGGCCCAATCTCCCTATTCCATCCATAGGGAAGGCCTCTGCCCCAGCAGTGGGGACATTAATAGGCTGATGATGATGATGAGACGTACTCACCGCGCTATAATCCGCGATTTCAGCTCGCTCTCGTCGCAGCGAGCGCCGGGTCGCGAGGCTAGTAACGCAGGGGCTAAAGATTGTCCTTGCTCCCTGCGCAGTAACAATGTCGCCGCGGCTCGCTCCACATCCCCTCCTCCGATGGAGACGCAATGCTTTATCTATGATGGAATATATAAATAATCTATGCCTGGTAGATATTGTTACCTTAGCAATAAGGCCGCCTTTTGTGTTTGTGTTCCTTGAGTTTTATGTTGTATATATTTTGTTAAATAGTGCAATAAAGAATATTCATTCATTCATTCAATAATCTATTCAATTTGACTATCCAAGCCGAAAACCAATTCCGCACGAACGTCATACAACATTTTTCAACACATTTGCGAGAAAACCGTACCTTTACCTAAATAGAGTATTTGACAGTATTAAAAATAAAGTGCCAATTGTTAGCATGTGTTTAGAATGAATATTGGCAGGGGTCTTTACTATTTTTACAAAAAGAAACATTCATAATTTTACTAAAAACCCACGAAAAAGATAATAGTTTTCTTATCTATTGTCATGTGACCCAAAACGCTAGGGATTGGCGGAGCCTAAAATGACGTCACACGCAAGTAAACTTCCGGTTAAAGTAACATTACATTGTATCGTTTGACGTTTTAATAACAGTCGTGTGACGTCACACACTAGTAAGACGCCATTATTGTCCAGAGAAACGTTTTCGCGGCAACTTGAAAATGGAGTTTTTGATTTGGTTATTTTTACTGAAATACACAACAGAATTACGTACAATATTTTTATTGAAATATCCATTTTACGGACTCCATAAACATTAGTCAATAACGTGAGATCGTTTTCTAAAACTTGTCAAATACCCTATTGAGTAACGAAGCAAACTTTTTCTAATAAAATAGCGCGAATTTCCAAATGGTGGCGCCATTTGGAACGGGAAAATTACAACTACATCTTTCGCCTCTTTTTCTTGTTAGTATGAAAGTGAGACAAAGGTTTAAATAAAATTAAGGTTATACATTAAAAGCGCTTCCAAGGAGGTTCAATGGAAGTTTGAAAAAAATCAGTAAACGATACGCACGACGCCATGAATGGGCGCGTGTGGTAAAACGATTTACCGCACGCTCAGTTGTATGACCCGTAATTTTGAACTTTCGAACAATGTGTACAACCTCCGTACATGCATTTTTTGAGCTAATGTGTTGAAAATAACTACTATGTAATTTTTACATAATGCAAAGAGAATAGGGGTGATGACGGGTTACAGTAAACGAAATTCTATTTAGTCCATCAGTTAAATGATCAAAATATAATGGACACGTATTTTTTCTTTGGGCAATCAACCAAAAAATGACGAAGTTATAGCGCGTCAAAGTTTGGGAGTTGAGGGGCTCGTGCCGTCACTTTTTAGTGAATTTTCACTTAAGTGTACCAAAACGTGACGTCATGCGACTTTTCAAATCAATATATCTCTGCAATGTTTATATTATGTGAAAAAAGAAAAAATACGTGTCCAATACTTTTTGATAATTTACCTGATAAACGAAGAAAAATAGTCATCATCCCTATTTAAATTATATCACAATTGAGCGTGATAAAAACGTGTTATATATCATATCGCAGTGCTCATCTTAGGGGGGCAGGTATAAGACAGTATTCGAATCTGCACATTCCTTTATGTGGATTTGTGTCTTCCGTTTTCATTCTAGTAAAAACATCATTAAGACTTCCAAATCTAGCAGTTTAACGATTGAGACTGCAATATGATTTTATTTTTAATTATTATTAATAGACTGAGGAACTCGATGACCGGGGTGGTTAGCGCGTTCGGCTGCGATCGTTCAAGTTAAGCAACCTTCGCAGTGGTCGGTCATTGGATGGGTGACCAAAAATCTTTTATCTCGAGCTCCTCCGTGCTTCGGAAGGCACGTTAAGCCGTTGGTCCCGGCTGCATTTGCAGTCGTTAGCACCCGCCAATCCGCAATAGAGGGGTCATGGCCCAATCTTCCTATTTCATCCATAGGGACGGCCTGTGCCCCAGCAGTGGGGACAGTAATAGGCTGATGATGATGATGATGATTATTAGACTTACCTCCATAGCACAAGTGTTAGGGAACATCTCGTGGAGAGCACGACACTGGGCTGAATGTTCATCGGTCTCTAGGACAGCCCGTCTGCCACTGTCCGCGTTCTCAGAGCTTTCCGAGTTGGAATGAGATCTACGAGACAAATATTTTACTAGAAAAACATTCACGCGGACCAGGCAGCGGACGGGACTCGTACCCGCACCCTCCTAGGCTTGTTGAAAATATATCGATGTATCGATAAATTGATATTTTTGATTCGATATATCGATACATCGATACAAAATAACCAATATCGAAATTCGTATCAAAAACGATATTTTTTTAATTATTAGCGGCATATCACGATCTAACTAAATTTGTATCTGGAACAATCGTAACGGGATCTCAGATTAATGATATTCAACATATCTGTATTTAGTATTGTCTATGATTTGTAAATCTGTTTCGCTGGTGAATTGGTTGTGCTGAATTCCAATACATATATTCTGTGGAAGTGTGTGACTGTCTAATCTTGTTTACGAAAGATGTGGCACCTGAGAGGCCCTGCAATCATTTTCATCATTCGAAAATAAGGTCTATTTTTAGGGAGATAATTTTCGTTCCATTATTATTCCGCGTGTCATCTTAGTGTAGCGGCAATTTGGTACTTTGATAATTCTTTCTTTAATTATAATTTGTATTGTTATTATTTCTGTGCTAGGCTGACCTAAATATATTTTTGGGAAAATTGGTCCGATATATCGATGTTTTTTTCGCGATATATCGAAGCCGATCGATATTTTTTTCGACTTTCGACATCCCTACACCCTCCGCTATCCGGGCGAATTCACTGATCGATTATGCTGCCGTCGTGGCTGTGTCGAATTTCCTCTAGTATTTCCTAGGCTGCAAGGCAGCGCAATCTCTTCGCATTGTAGGTAACCCACAATGTCAAATGAAATATCATTACAAGTATTAAACATTTGAAAGAAGAAATAGCAAGTATAGTTATATTTTACCTGAACATTCCTAAACTTTTATAAATCGGTTTTTAATTTATTTATTTTTTATTTTATAGTCATAATAATTTTTGTATCATTTACATTTGTAATGGAAAGTGACTTCATGAGTTATCTCATATTGAAGTCATTTTTCAATTTGACGACTGTATATAATACAGGGAGAAAAAACAGCCCTTGCCGAGTTTCTTGCCGTTCTTTTCAGAACAAACTATCCCGCCGTAGATTTACGAACCGATGGCGTAGCTTTTAGACATTCACAAGTGCTTATAACAGCCTAGACTAAACAAACGATATTGAATTTTGATTTTTTTAAGCACTTAACTGCTAGCTAAATGTTGACAGTTCCTGCTAGTGGCATGATCATACTATATAGAAAATGATATGATGTTGGCACATGCAGCCATTTGGTCTTTTTAACAGACTTAAAAAATAGGATGTTCTTAGTTTGATCTGTATGTATGTATGTTTACCCGCGATTATCTCTAATACCACTGATCTGATTTGGGTGGGGTTTCCGGTATATAAATGCGTATTTGTCAGGGTAGGTTTAAGTATATAATATACTAGCAGTGGCCCACGATTTCACCCGCGCAAACCGACCTGCGCATTTAAAATTTCCAACAATTAGCATATTCCGTATTACACTAAAAATGGAAATATAAAATATTTTTTAATAAAAAATAGAATCGATTAAAAAAAACTGATAATTAACAAAAAAAAAGGATTTATAGATTGATATATTTGAAGTCGATACCATTATCACGATGTCCCTGCTGAACACACGGCTTGGTACCAAGTTCAAATATATCTATCAGTTCTGTATAAAACAAAAAAAACCTCTCTCTTTTGCACTCCAAATACAAATAATAAATAAATAAATATTTCCAACACTCACACCAATTAGCCTAGCCCCAAAGTAAACACTGTAGGCTTGTGTTATGAGATACTAGGGTAACGGATAGAATAAATAAAATGATACATATATGAGTATATTTATATAGAAATACATATTAAACATCCATGACTGGAGTACCAATGCTCGTATTCATCACACAAACATCTGCCCCCACCGGGATTCGAACCCGGGACCTCTCGAGATGGCCACACCTTGAAACCTGGCGTATAAACCACTCGGCCACGGAGGTCGTCAAATATGTGTCAACAAGTCACAAAAGTGGTTGGCACTAATAGTATATTTCCCTGCGGAATTATTTAACTGATTTACGTTCGGCTGCGAAGTTAAGCAACATTGGCAGTGGTCAGTCATTGGATGGATGACCAAAAATTTACTTTCTCTCACACCTCCGTGCTAAGGAAAGCCCGTTAAGCCGTTGGTCCCGGCTGCATCTGCAGTCGTTAGCATCGACCAAAAGGCACTGGGCCCGCGGAGACACGGACCATTCTCCCTATTCCATCAATAAGAAGCAAGGCTGTGCCCCAGCAGTGGGACATTAATAGGCTAAATGATGTTTTCATGGATATTTGCCTATCATAACAATGGAGCGTGTAGGGGCTCTGTTGTCAGTGGATCAGCCCCAAATATAGAATATAAAAGACTAGCCTGTCTAATTATAAGGAAAATGTGTCTCACCTGTTGTTCTTGGTGGGTACAGAAGGCAGCATCTCACTGAGACTCTGAAGTGTCAGACTGATCTTATCGCTGCCAGCGGAGTCGTCTAAAACAAGGTTTCCGTTGAATAAAATCCATATTTTCAGTTACGAGTATCTTATAAATAAAAAAATCTGTTTATCCGCCTGTTACGTTATTAATTTTGGTATGGAGACAAAGGGGACCGTTTAAATGAACAAGCAGGGCTGGATTTAAAGGTGTGGAATCCCTAGGGCAATGAAGAAGTGGTGACCCCTAAATCTTATTTTTTCCCCAGGTAGGCAAATGACTTTATCGCACCTGATGTTAATTAAGTGGTGATAAAGTCCGTTTGCTGGCCTGCAAAAATGTTATTTGGGTCATTATACGGTATTGGGTACTTTGATGGCCTTTGAATAAAAAAATATTAAATTAATCAAATTGTTGTTATTTTATATGTTTAATAATACATAATAGTGTATTTTATTTGTTCCACATAGTATTCTATTAAGAAACCTAATCATTTTGTTTACAATAAGGGAAAATAGTACGAAATGTATACTCCCCTGGCCTGGCCCCATACATACATTTTACTATAATTATCGGAATATTTTTTATAATTTGACCAGTACATGGTTTTTTGAAATGTAATATTGTACCTAAACAAAGAACACAAAATATTTGTTTTTAAAAAACGAAATAAAACAAAATAATTATTAGTTTAAAAAAACATCTTTTTCTGACTCCTAAAAAAGTGTCACCTTCTCTGGCTCAATTTGAATTTCAAAATTTCCCTCAAAAACCGCGTACACGCTTCATTGGTCTTCTGTAACGCGCGTCGGACAGAGTGAAGTTAGGTACAAGCCAATGGCGTCGTCCAAATTTGAAATAATGTTACGTCAGTGCCCGGTTCACCGATGAACAACGTGTTTGTGCCAGTCTTTGCCGAATTTCCCCTGGTGAGTGTATATTTTTATATTTCACTATTATGTACGACATTAATTATTCAATGTATTGTTACAAATGAGTAGATGGCCTGTATTTCGTATTATTTCGGTATAAAGATTGCATTGTGTATATTTTTTAGGTTATATGTTATTTTGTCACTCCCCTGGCGTCACTTCTCTGGCAGTTTTAGTGCCAGGGGAAATACAAACGAACCAGGGTAGTGACAAAAATTAAATAAAATGATTTGATTTAACTAACAAATTGATTTTACATTTACTTTCATTTGTTTTAGTTTGCTGTAGGTTTTACTAACGCGACGACATCATGGCGAACGCGAAAAAAAACAAACAAGAGAAGAAAGGCTTGAAAAAAAGCGTCAGGCTGAAAGATTGCGCTTTCAAAGAATGAAAAGTGATCCAGTAAAAAATGCTGAGTTAAAAGACAAAGAACATAAAATTTAAATATTTTAAAAAAAGGAGAAAGGACAAATTAAAATCGTGAAGGATATGACTGAAAGAGAGCAAAGGGCTATTAGAAAAACATGGAGAGAGAAGACTAGAAAGCATAGACATCGCATAAAGCAACAATCTTCTAGAAATTGTCCGATAACACCGCCTTCGTCTGATAACGAAGAACAACCTCCAATTCCACAGAATGATGTGGCATTAGCTGCTAAAAGACGATCAGAAAGGCAACGTAAACAAAGGAATAGAGTTGGTAATAAACAGAAAAATGAAATAAGAATATTACGTCAAAAGGTACATGATTATCAACGGAAGCTAAGGCGTATCCAAAAAAAGAAAATGACCCCAAACTTACCGAAGGTTAATGAACATTTAAACAGCAACAGTGAAAAGAAGAAGAGAAGAAGGAAATTATTATTTTGTGAAGTTATCCAAAATCAACTGCAGGAAAATATAGAACTGACAAAGAATGATAATGAGAATAAAGTAAAAAATAGTGATGCAAAAGTTGTTAAGATCGGAGATTTTGTGCTTGTAAAATATGAGATAAATGGCAAAAAATACAGATATGCTGGTGTATGTTCATCTGATTTTAATGATGATGAAGATGATATTCGTGTTACTTTTCTAAAGATCTGTAATGATAAAGGTACTCTTTTTAAATTAGGTGATAACGATGTATCTGATGTCAAATGGGAAAAAATTTTGACAATATTACCTGTCCCAAACATAGTAATGAAAGGTAACAGAATGTTTTACAAGTTTCAAAAGCCTGTAGATGTTTTTGAAAAGTAATTTGTAATTAGTTTTAGAGCAGTTTGAAGTTAAGAACCTCATTAAAATTTAATGATATAATGATGTCGATTCTGTCATGATTCTCTAAAGCTAAACTTAAATTTGACAACAGTGCATCCCTGTCATTCTCTATACAGAATGAAAAGGAAAGACTGATGTTAAATTTAGTTTTAAGTTTAGAGACTCACGCTAGAATCGACACCAATATTTTGTTATTTTGTTGTAAGGAAAAGGATTTTTAAGTTTTGTTGTAAGATAGGGTTTATTTGTTGATTATATAATTACATTCAGTGAGGTTTTAATTATAAGTAGAGTTTTTATTATAGCGATCTCCAAACAATTACTGTGATTATAAGAATAGATACTTAAATACTACTAATATTATGTCAGAAAAGACTGATAAGTAGAATTTCTTAAGAAAACATATCTATATTTGTTCTAATACTAGGGAAATAATATCATCCTACTAATTTTATTAAAAGAAAACATTTTGTAATGCAAAAGACTGATTGAAGTTCAAACTTAATAAAAATAATTAAAAAACAATTAATCCGTCTTTCTTTTCAATGTATCTAAATGTGTTTCCTAACTAATTGTTACTAGCCAGTCATGCCCCTGGTTGTATTTGTCACTACTCTGTCAGTAATGTCACTCCCCTGACACTGAATTTTCCCCTGGAAGCCATAAACCTGTAAAACCATTCAATATCTTCTGGCCCTTAAAAATACCAATAAAACAGTTAATCTCCTCATCAAATAATGAATTTGAAATCAAATGGTAATTTTTTTCAAGTGGGCCAAGAAAATTCCCAATAACGTATATTCACCCATTTACAGGGTATTTATTGTCCCAAAAATACAAGTAGTAAGCAGTAAATTATCTGATAATGTTACAAATTATAGATCAATTCATTCAATGTGTGGATTTGTAATTTATTGCAATTGGGATTGCAACAATGCATGTTAAATTAACTAGAAAAAAAAAAAACATATAGCAGTTAAATGCTTTAAAATAAAAATATTTTAATTCACCGTTGTTAGACATAGAATCCGATTCCTCTCTCCGTGACAGTTCTGCTTCCAGCTCCAACACCCAGGAGCATACTTGTCCAGCATCTATACGGGCAAACTCTGGAACGTACGCTGCCATCATCTCTATGAAGCCTGGAATTTAAAATTTTTATAATCATTTTCAGTTTCTATAATTTACTTCTTGCTTAAGTTTTTAAAAACTCTGCCAATATATTTTAAACAAAAAAAGTTGCTTGCAAGGAATTGGTTTATATTATGCAATTCATAAATAAATAATAAATAAATAAATATATCCAACACTCACACCAATTAGCCTAGCCCCAAAGTAAGCACTGTAAGGCTTGTGTTATGGGATACTAGGGTAACGGATAGAATACATATACTGTACATATATAAGTATATTTTTATTAAGAAATACATATGAAACATCCATGACTGGAGTACAAATGCTCGTATTCATCACACAAACATCTGCCCCCACCGGGATTCGAACCCGGGACCTCTCGAGTCGGCGACACCATGAAACCCGGCGCACAAACCACTCGACCACAGAGGTCATAATAAGTATTCTTGACTGAATAGGTTTATTTGTATCGCACGTACTATAGGCCTTACTGTCAAGCGAGCCATACACTTATTTGCCACCCTTTTGACATAAAAAATATACAAATAGTGCAACACATTTCAAAGTTTAACAGATGCACTTGAGAGTTGTAACTTGACTTTTCAAGAGACAATAATCAACTTCAATCAAAATAGAAGATTTTTTTGTGATAGCAACAGAATGACACTTCACAATAATTAATGAAGAATAAGGTTTTATTCACATCTCTAAATGTACCTGTTAGTTTGTAAAGGGATATTTTTTAATGATCCTCAAATAATTAATAAATAATCACAGAAAAATACAATAGGTAATCTAAATGTTAGGGTAGGTCACCAATTGTATATCTTTGAGGATTAATTCGAGTGATTAACAGGAATTTTTGAAGCAAGCAAAAATTAGTTCAATAATCCATATAATACAAATGACCGCTTTCTGCTTCACACTGCTTAATTACAATTTTTGATGATCATTTTAATATGTATGTACTTATCCCTTTACAAAGTGCTACAAATTATAATAATATTATTTGAATCTAATAAGTATATATCTTAGATAAGTTTTGTAATCTCTTCATTATCCATTTCTAATAAAATTAATATTATTTGATAGCACTTGGTTGTCTTTGTGTTTAATAAAGATTTGACAAGTATTTTTGATTCAATTAATACAGAGGCACAAGCATGAACTTTGACACGTCTGAAATTGTATCAATTCATCAAAGTTTCTATGAAAACTAAGCAGCACCCTTGCCGTAAACAATAAGTAAATGTTTGATAAAAACTTGGCGCCATCTATTTAAATTCAAAGATGACAATACAATTACGGATGTATTAAATTTCGTGATCAGGCCTCTGAATTGTTTAGGACAAAAACCTAAAAGGTAGAAGCAATAATATTACAGAGGATTCTTGCCTCTCTTAGGAAAGAAAGGAGCTGCGCTGCAATAATACAATTTTACTGAAAACTGCATGACACTAACTATAAAGACAAAAGGAAAATGAAGAAATAGGTCACCTTTAAACTGACAACAAAACAAGTTTTCATGAGAATAGGGCTGGCCGACATTGAAAATAATAAAAGCTAGTTCAAGTGCGAAAAGAAACCCACATAATAATTCTCATGTTACACTATTGTTCAGTTAATAATTGGACTTTAAAGGACGTGAATAAGTAAATGACTATTATGGCACAAATATAAAACACTTTTTACCATCTACATCGAAACAGGGGTCCTGGGAAGCTTCTTCTAGAATTGATATCACGTATGCGAGTACTATATCGTCGATAACGTTTAAATCCGCAGTCGGAAAGTTTTTCGTGATGAACTGAAATAAACTCTCCTTCACGAGAGATTCTTGCTGGGCTATAGCACTCATTGTTATCTAAAACAAGATAGTTTTGCATGAAACACTGTTTAAATCTAATGTATTCAAAGCTAACGTTACGGCTGGCTACGCATTAAGCAAAGAGAGAGAAAAGCGACGTATGGCACATTTTTAAAATCATTCCCATTTACTTCGGCCTCTGCACCGGAAAAATCGAGGGCTTATTTGAAATTTTAAAGGAATTTCGCAAGAAAATTGGCAGACAGCGACAAAAATCAATACAAATGAGTTTTTTTTTATAAACAACTTTTGTCTTATAAATTTTGCCAACGACAAGGCAAAGGATACTGAAACTAAACTCATACATCTCAGTTTTATATAAATGTTTATGATTGAAGATTATTCAATTTCAGTATTTAACGTGGGTCCTGCGGTATTATAATGAAAGTCTTACCATGTTTTCGTATATTTTGTAAAACACAAAACACACTTCATAGTAAAACTAATTAACTACACTAACTTTAGATTACCTACCCAATGACTATAAAGACTCAGGAGATTACACGATAACTAAGAAAATTATGTTTTGTTAATTAAATAAATAGAGTCAAATTATGCACATTACAGCTTGCACTTCATTTGTTCAGGATATGAAACGGAACGTTTTCTGAATGGGCGTTCATTTTTTTACGGTTTTATTAGGGCACTCGTTATCATAGTATCATAACTCAAAAATTACCTATATATTTCTATCACAAAAAATACTACAAGGAATTCAAATTGATCCAGTAGGAACTAGAATGGATTAAGCAATAAAACGTGTTTTATTAATTTCTTATTCAGGCTAGGAGAGAAAACACCGCGGAAGTTTCCTACTGCCGTACTTTTGCAAAAAGAGTGAAAGCTGTTCATGAATAGGCAAAGTAATTCCAGAAATATATATTACTTTTATTACACAAACCTTAAAGAGACTTATTTGAACACACATAATAGGTACAGTTAAATGCTAATTCTTGTATTCCGTTTGATATTGTAGTTTTTCCTACAATGCAAAGAGAGGGCGTTACATTACAGCATAAAAATAAACTACAGGAAATTCGTCACTGAAAGGTCCATTAGATTATCCAATTTTATGGGACCCTTACCCTGACTTATTATAAGAGATAGGATAGGGCGGCTTGTTATAAGAGATAGGTAAGGTAGGTAGGTAAGCAGACCCGTCTTTCTCAGTGGGCACTTTGGGCAAGTGCCCAGGGCCCCGCGATCGATAGGGGCCCCTTCAGATCAAATACAAAGTCCCTCGTTCCTGTTAAATCACCAAACGGAAGTCATAGGGGCCCCATTATCCTAATATGCCCAGGGTCTCCAATAGGTCAAAGACGGCACTGGGTAAAGGACCCGATATAGGGCGATCGACGCGGTATAAAATTGGTACTACCCTAGCTAGGGGACACGCCCACACTTTTCGATAGGGCCCTTAGAATTAGATAGTGTAAAAGCCGTTTTAAGAAATAAGCATCTACTTCATATAGTAACTTTGTACTTATCTACCCAGTTAGTTGAAGCGCTGGCCGCGGTAGTAGGAAGAAAATTCTTTCTAACTTTTATAATTCAAACAATTTAATGCTTAAAATTAAAATACCACGTAATTACTTTTGTCATTTTGATTTCGGGACATGAAATTTTAAATTAAAAACAAACAAGTTTTCAAATAAATATATTTCAATTAAAATTTTAAAATATAACGAACAATCATATTTTTAATCTCAACTTTATCTAATTATGACTGATTAACACAACGCCAAATTCACAACTACATGGTTTTTATTTATATATATAATTTTACTATAACAATGATTTTAATTTTGCTCAAAATCACATGGGTTTAACGTGGGTTTATAAGTATGCACTAAGTAAATATAATTAAGTTGTATATGAAACACATATAAAATTATTTGGTTTGTATGATAAGTTGATAAATACAATAAAGGCTAAGTAAATAAATTTCAATTCTATTCTATTCCGCGTTACAGTTGATTGATAGACATAATAGACATTTAGGAAGCGAGTTACTTTTTATTGCTAAATACAAAACCGAGTCATACATATAATAAATAAATAAAATTACCCGCATGTTTCATATTATTAAAATCATGAAAAATACTTAAGGAAATAAAAGTTTTCATGTCGTTATTGCACTAATAAAATGAATGTGGCAATCTTATTTTAAAAAGTATTTTTATTTATACATAATAACAAAGTTACAAAAAAGTAACTAAGTGTTATTAAAACAAACACAATCTAAATACGCTCTAAATTTAGATTTGGTAATATTATTGCTTACGGGCAGTTTCATTGATGTAATAATAGGTGTTCCGTGTTATATTTCAAGATAATAAAATAAATGAAATATTGCAGTAACTTTCTACCTACATACATCAAAATTTGTTTTGTTCATAAAAACAATACCTGCATGTAAACAACAGATACAAAATCTCATTTCTTCACAACTTTATTATGACCTTTAAAAAGCGACAGCGTCGCTTCCTTATTCTATTACGGATTTAAAGGCAATAGCGGTGTGAACTAAAACATTTATAATTTTATCTATTCGGTCTTCCATTATTATCACAAATATAATATACGTCAATCGACTTTGACACACGTTTATAATACATTTATATAAACATATATAAATTGATAATCATTTCAATACAGTTTAATTAATAAATACTTAATATCGATACACACTCACTTTAAATAATTAATTATTGCGTTTAAATAATAACTATGCTTGCGAAAAATAGTGTTTTATATAGAATTTTAAGACAAATAAGGATGATTTGACATGTTTTTTGGGATAGTACGTAGAATGAATGAAAAAATCATGAAAGTTTCGTACTTACGATTCAATAGATTTCAAAGCAAACATTCAGCATTAGGATGCTACATCCTTGATGCCGTTTGGAATTAATGCCTTTCCTACTTTTTTCTGTACGCTAGAAGTAGGCAGTCTACCACTTTCGCTCAGCTCAATCTCTATTATAATGAAATGAAACTAAGTAGGTATATGCGACTATATACCTATCTTTACACGAGCAGAGGGAGCAAAAACAAAGGGAGTACATTCATAACTTTTTTTCTCAGGTTTGTACATCTTCTATCTGACCGGCAGTCTTAGAAACGGGATCAATTTGATAGTGATATGTGAGTCTTGGTCCATTCTTGATTCGTTTCATATATTCCGGACCATAGGAGTCTTTCGTGTTTCTATTAACTTAAAACTCAATCTCCCGTTTCAATCTGAATAGAGTGTACACTGTTATCAAATTAAGTCAGTACATGTCAGAAATCAGGCCCACGACTATCGATCCAACTCTTTCATATTTCCATATGGCGTATTGAAGCAGTTTGCCGGCATCAATATGCAAATTATATCGAACATTCACCATTCTCCTACGTTTAATATATTAAACTTTAATTTTATATGAACATAGGTACCCAGTAGTAGTTTTTGCTGTCAAGTTTACCCAACGTTCAATTCACAACACCCTGCGTCTACTGCTCTTCTTTATTACAATGGTGTATCTTATATCCAGCTTAAAGCATATCCAATCCAGTATCCAAATCGAAGTCATTAACTTGTGAAAATCCAGCACTACATATCCAGCATACCAATGAAACTTCATTCTTAAATTAGGTCATGTCCCGCTCTCATAGTAGGTATTATGAGAACGTGACATGACCGAATCTAGGAATGAACCGATGAACCCTCGGGCCATGCTTGACACTAACGACGCAAATCAGGGAGCTAGGCAACCATCTAACTGTATAATTTTCATAACATAAGGTAGGTTACAGAGCGAGTACGCAACAGGATACTCTCCATCCGTAATGACAGCAGTCGGCAAAATATGGCAGATAATGCTTTCTTCAGATAAATCGACACAAAAAACACTTATGCTCTATAGCCAGATAATCAAACAGATTGCGGAGCGAGAAAACTTCTAATAATTATTATTAATATAGACATCGAGCGGCAGCGATAATTGACTAAAAGTGGCAGAGCACCAAATTCTTCGACTAAGTTTACGCGTAAGCTGGTAACATTACAGCACGTTAGTGTAAAACCCTACGGGTCATAGAACCAAAAACAGGATGGTAACTATATAGCGAATCTACAGTGATCTAAAATGATATATCATACAGGTTGCTTTCCAATTACAGAGCATAATGCGACTCAGTGCCGCACAATGCCGAATTATGCTGATGCTTAATTGGAACGTGAATTAGTTTTCAAATGCACTAACAGAGTGCGCTAAGTTCAGTGTTGAAAAAAAAGTCAATGTTTGTACCTTCATCCTTACTTATATTTATTTTTTAACAGTTTGAATGAACTTTGATTATTTAAAAAAAACTATTTAATGATACGAAAGCTTTAATAATTTTTCAACAATAAATAATATTACTAACGATAACCTATAAATTAAACATTTCGATCAATGCCAACTTAAAGAAAAAACACTTGTTAATTTTCTGTCTCTAAGTTGGTACGATTGCACGCATCACACGAAAGCATCACTTTTGAGACTGCTCAATTGTGCGAAGCGTTGCTGTAGTTGGAACACTCAACGTGAAGCATTATGCCGCATAATGCGCTATAATGCTGTAATTGGAAAGCAACCACATACATCGCTTTAGAAAAACGCGTGTTGTCTAGTAAGAACTAGTTTTAACAGATATTCCATTTTGAGCATTAATCAATTTTAGTTTTAACAAAGGCTTTTAGTAAAAACTAGTTCTAACTAGGGAAAACGCGTTCTATCTAAAAACTGGTTTTAACGGTAACATATACATTAGTATACCTACTTTGAATTTTGCTTTGAATGTTATGACTTATTTAGTAAAATATGTTCGCAAAAACATGTTAAAGACCATAAATAAAAATTATACATTGTTTTTTAAATCACATTACAGATCTGGAAAACAAGAAAATTAAATATCAAAGATATAAATAAATAAATTCAACATGATAATTATATTTTAAACAT